ATATCACAATTTTCCCAGGAGTAAACTCGTCTTATTGATGCCTCAAAATTGGCTTACAGGTTTTCCCTTGGCAGCACACATGTATATTTTTGCTGCCCCCGAGTAGAGTTATTAATGGTGTGACGTACTCAGGAGCCACCCCAAATTGAACCTAACCCAAATTGGAGTGAGTTTAAAAAGATAGTTATAAATTTGAAGCAACCTGGAAAAACCCGGTGCAAGTCTGGAGCGGCCGGAGTAGAATCTGAAGCAGTTTAATAGAGTGGGTTAAAGATTAAATAAACAACCCTACCCGAGATTTTTTTTTGATTTTGTCAGCAGTGTTTCAACTTAAAGCAAATCAGTGTGAGCATTACTACCTTCTAATTTCAGTCTTTTTAAACCCGGTTTTAATCGGTTTTTATATCTGAAAAATAAAGCCGGTTCCAAACTCTAACGTTAAACATTAATTTAGTCGCTAAAAGCAAGTTACTAGGTATATAGATTGTGTCATGAATACGTATCAATATGCGTTAAATTTAATTGGCCAAAAATAAATGCGAATCGTCAGTGGTTTTTTCTATTATCGTTACGTCTTAATGTTAGGATTAGGATGAATGCTATGACAACATTAATAAAGGTATAGCATGTATCAAGGAATTGCTTTTGTTAAGATGCAGAAAGTAGTTTTGTAAGCAAATTCCAACTTACGGGCTGTACGTAGCTATGTTCAATCATGTATTTATTAAAGAAACGAGAATCTAGCAAGAATATATTGTGTTTATAATTTTGGCTTGATACATCCTTTATTAAGATAACACATGTAATTTACAGTGACATTCTTCTTAAATGAATAAAAAGAAATTTGGGGGTTTTGAAATAAAATAATACATGAGTAAAATGAGTAAATGATAGTACTTAAAATCTATAAAATATGGATGTATCTATTTTATTATTTAAAGATCTAATTCATCAAGAACTAGACCAAGACATTTTTAAAAGAGTTTTTTAAGTGTCCAGATTATGAAGATAAAGGTAAATGCGTTTCCATTTATACAAGGTGTGAATTGTTATAACTAAAAATAAATAAATAAACTCATCTTAACATCTCCATGTCTATTGGTTTTGTTTCGATAGGAATATCTAAAAGATCCCAACTTCCAGGTCTCTTTTTTTGCCCTTCATTAATTTTTGTACTAAGTTTGGAAGACTGTCGTTTGCTTGAATTAAAAGACTGTCGTTTGCTTGAATTAAAAGACCTTTGTGAACTAAGCCTTTGTTCTTTAGCCGAACAAGTCGTTTCTTCAATTGTAATAGTAATTTGGCAATTATTTTCATTTGTATTATCTAGCTTGCATTTGTCCGCATATATCGTAATGGAACATTCGATAATGAGTAATGTTCCTACTATTAAAGTTGCCGCCGAATCCAACCACCAAATATTCGGTAAAATTAGATATAATAGACTGCTTAAGAAGATAACTGCCGTAATTTCTAAGCAAACCAATGAATATCGAGTTTCGGATAACACTGTTGAAGAACCGAGTTTTCTAGCAAGATATTGTTTGGCTAACCAAAGTAACAGTGTAATAAATAATGAAATACTGGTGATTAACAATCCCGGAAAAGTAGTTTCTGGTCTTTTTGCAAGAATCAAGGCAACTATTGCGCATGAAAGGGAAGTCATAGCAAGTAATATATGAAGAATAGTCATTATTAATTTTACTCTTCTTTCGTTCTTGCATATCATATTATCTCGTATAGAATTAAACGTTTGGTCTTCATTAGAACTTGCTTCTTCAATAAATTGCCACAAGGCCAAGCTTGTGGATATCACACAAATAAAAAAATCGATTCCAAGAAAAAAAAGACCAATTGACTTGTAATTAATTCCGTAATATATCGCTACTACACTTTCACAAATATTCCAAAGAATTGTAAATGTGAAAATTATAACAACAAAATAAATAAATCGTGAATAAAAACCAGATTGTTGGGAAGGCATCGCGATCGAAACAATTTTGGTTGAAAAATTCGCATAATGTCTGTATAAATAATCATATTATTAATATATATTTTAATTTGTTTCATCTTTCAGTTGGCAATAATGCAGTATAAACAAACGTTATCAAACGAAACGCTTACCTTTCTACGGATAAATAAAAAGTTTCAATATATAGATTTATTTATTTATGTGTCTCTATCTGTTCTCTATAATTTTACGTAATGTATGCAAATGCAAGTTCCTGACTATTTCATTTTATTTGATTTTATTTTTTTGTTTAGTTGCACACATAGCGTAGTGCGCTTTAGGATTAGAACGGTATATAGTAAACCTGAATTGATGAGAGCCATCTGCAATCTTTGCGAACCAATGAAAATTAAATTATTATAGTTGCATATAATTCAAGGCTGCAGTCTAGGACAGAACTGGATTAAGTCGCTTCATCTTGCATGCAGTAAGTCCGGAGTCGAAACTTTCTCATATTAGGTTTGGGTTTTCAAATTGAAATATACTTGTGTCACAATTAAAATTATCTAATGTTCATCAAATATTTTTAGAAGTTAGATCTATAACAAAATTTTCGAATTATGAAGGAAATATACAGACATAACAAACAAATAATCATATATTCACGGCAGGCTAGCATTAACCTTATTGATACATCATGGGCAGTATTAGAATTAGAGAGTGTGTGAATTAGGTCGTGTGTGCGCTCTCATTACCGTCACAACACTTCCTTTAGATGTTTATCTCTGTTTCAATAAGCTCTGATGCCCGGGAACGTACACTGCTTTTTAAAATTTTTCACCTAGGGACGATTTAAACCAATGATTAAAGTCCGAATAGTTAAATTTGGATTTAATATATCCGGATTATAATTATCTCCTGTTTTTAGTTACGTAATAAAAAACATTTGTCATCCTTATATTCACCTAAATTAATACTTTGCACTTTAAATTCTGTATCCCAAAATAATTATCCGTCTCCAGGTGACACATTTCTCGCGATATTCTCGCGATCGCTGTAGATCTTGTAATGCTAATTACTAATTGATTAATCAATTGATTAATCAATTGATTAATCAATTTATTAATGTCACACGACGAGAAAATCGGCATCTCCTGAAATATATATCATATGAGTGCGTGAGAGTGAAAACCTGGAAACCGATCATAGTAAATCATTAAATCGGTTTCCAGGTTTTCACTCTCACGCACTCATATCATTTTACTACGTATAAGACTAAAAATTCGCTATTTTTAGATTTCGTGCCGTTAGGTGAAGATTAGGTTTTGTACGTACGTACGTACGTACGTACAAGGTCAGGGTTACAAGCAGTGCATAAAATCAATGTGCGGTTTTACCAAAAAAAAAAAAAAAAAAAAAATCCTGACATCCAAAATCTCGAAAACCATAATCCCTACGTGACGATTAATATTTAATGATTAGTAATCACATTAACAATTATTGTCGAACGTTAAATTTTTATTTGTCACATTATGTGATGCCAGTATTATGGCCTGTTGAAATTTTGGATGTCGGGATTTTTTGGTAAAACCTCAATGTGCACAATGTGTTCAGTGCAAAGTTATATATAGGGGAATTTACAAATAAAGGCCCGGAAAGTGAAAATAATTACAAATACGGGCCAAATAAAAAATAATTACATATAAGAGCCTAATTTTAAAAATATTCCATATAAGGTTGATGGCCGAAAAAACCGTGACCGCGGGATTACTGCGTCACAAAGTACAGTCAGACCTCCCTAAATGCACGTCGTCGGGGAGCGTGTATTTAGGGAGGATTGCAATTAAAGAACACTAATAAAATCACAATGTGACTATTATCACATGATAAACATGAATTTAATAACCTAGAATAATGGATTTGATTGGTTAATAATCATGTGGATGCATTTATAGAGGGTGTTTTTATAAGTGAGCCAGACAATTAGCATGCACTTACAGAATAAAGAATGTATATTTATCTATAAATCCCACCATGGGCCCGGGCTTATATCATGCATTTAGAGGGGTGGTGCATTTAGATAGGGTGCATTTAGAGAGGTCTGACTATACTATGATCATTTGACTTATATTATTGATTGTTTTATTATAGACATATAGAGTCATCTACATACTGATTATTAGATATAAAGTATTGGTTATAAACATTTTCTCTTAAATATTGTATAAAAAAGCTTTGAACTATGGCTATGATGCATCAAGTTAATTTATATCAAACATCAAATTTAGGTTTATATAAATGCTTTTTAGCCAATCTAGAATGCATTATATACTAATTCTGATTAGATAAAAAAAATTAAAAAAAATTTTAAATTTTTTATATTAATGCCAACAATTTAAAGAGTTTATTTAAAATGCACATGTGCATAGCTATATACTCCTTTATGTTTTTTAGAATAATCCTGTTATATACTCAAAATTTTATTAAGATAACCCCTATTGTATTCTTAATAAAAATTTTTTCTTTCACAAAGTTATTTTAGATTTTAATTTTAAATTAATCCTAACCTCTAACCTTCTAACTTTAATTCTAATCCTAATGTTAACTCTAATTTTAATTATATTTGTTACTATAGGATATGCAGCTATACATAATATACAAATATAGTAGCTTCAAATATTTATAATTTTAAATTTTAAACTTTTTTTAAAAATTTAATCTATACTTCAAATAAAACTAATGAAAAGTAGTGGTTTTTATTAGTTATATTTTTAAAAATATTTAATAAATATCACAGATTAAAATAAAATCTGATCAAAATAAAACTGGTAATCTTTCATGCCTACTCTTAGAGCCTATAAAACCCACATATACTCATTTATTAATAAATCTAACTCTAAAACCTACTCCTAATGCTAAAAAGAACTCAAAAAATGTCACACAAAAAATTTTAAATTTTTCTTTAAAAAACAGAAAAATTTTATTTTGATCAGATTTTGTTTTAATCTGTGACAATAACTGTATTGATAATATATTGTGCATATGTGTCAGTAATTTGTTTGGTATTAGCTATTTTAATAAGGTGTGATGACTCAGCCATAATAAGCTTAATCTGTTTTGTTTGTTTGTTGTTAAGTGTAAACTAATATTCAAGAAACTTGAATGGTTGATTTGAGGGATGAAAATTAAGTAAATGATTGTTATAAGTAATAGTTCTATAATTGTATAGAGGATTATTAGTTGTAAGTATAGATTTGAAAGGATTAATTTGAATATTAGCTATATTGTAAAAAGATTCTGCTATTGAGAGGATTTGTGAAAGTTTTTGTTATAATAATACAATCCAAAGTATATCATCTATATAAGCAAGAACTAAACAATGTGAATTAAGTTTGTCAAATGTTTTGTGTTTAAGGTTAATTGGCCAGAAAACTTGTGTAGTATGGTCTTTAAAGTTATTATGAATATATGAAATAGGTAGATCATAGTATATTCTCCATAGAAGAGAAGTAATAGTTTCATCCTAATCAATACCATTAAGTACAGAGTATGAAGAAGTAAGACCCAAATTTGTAATAACTTGATTTTGTCAGTCAGTGAGCAAGTTGATAATAGTATTAATAATAGAAGTAGAAAGAACAAAATGTTGAAAAGACTGTTATAAAAGAGTAAGATTGACAGAATTGTAGGCTTTACTCATATTCTGAAATAAAAACTAAATTATTTTTTGTTTACAAAATGCATCTTTAGTAAGGTTGTTAAGTATGTAAATAGATATAGAGGTACTATTATGAGGTAAGACAACATAATTATATAGTAAAAGAATTGTGTGCTGTGAAAATACAGTACTAATTTTGTTGATAATAATTTTTGTATAGACTTTATGAGTATGTTTAATAAGACTTATAGGATGAGTGAGATTAAAGTCACTATTAAATATGTTATGCTTTAGAATAGGATATATTCTATTATTTTTCATTGCTTAGAAACATGGCTTGAGATAAGACATCAGTTAAATAGAGCAGTTAAAGCTTTAATACAGGTAATACCTGTATGTTTAAGTATTTTATAGCTAATGTCTATAGAACCACATGCTTTTTCATTAGAAAACTTTGCTATAGTTTAAAATACTTCTTTTTCTGAAATAGGAAGAGTAAGAGAATTATACTACTGAGTATTAATATGTATTTAAGATTGGTATTATACAGACCAGAAGTTGTTAAAAAGATGTTAGTCAATTGGTCAGTAAGCTGTCTAGTTAAGGAAATGTGAATGTATATATTGTTTAATAAGATTTAGATCTGTAAAGAGTTGGTTCAAAAGTTTAATATTAAAGAAGTGAATAGGAGGTTGGTAACGATTAAGAATACTATTGATAGCTTGTTTAGATTTTGTAAAGTGTGTTCTGCATTTTTTCTTAGTTGTTTATTTAATTTGTTGTCAAAGTAAAAAAGAGTTTTCAATTTGGCAAGCATTATAAAGTTGCTTTCAGATTTCTTGTGCATGTTAGATCCATAAAGAATGTTAGGAAGAAGTAAATATTTGAAGATTGCAGTGAGATCTTAAGTTAATATTTTGAAGTTTAGAATTGATTATATTATTATTTTTGTTTTTGATAATTTTAATTATATGATTAAGTTCTTTAAGTGATAGGTAGAATGAAGTGCATAGTGCTCGGCATAATCAAGCAAAGATTTGATACCCAAATCCTTATGCCGATCATAAATCAAA